GGGTTTGTAAGGCCATGTTACTCCTAAATTTCTATCTTGTTCAAAGAGAAGATATAAAACAAAGTTCTAAGCTAATCGACCTTTTTTAAAAGGAATCGATAAGAGAATCGATAAAGAATCGAATCGTTAAACAGAATTGAAAATGGAATCGGAATCGTGAAAATCTTATCAATACCCATCCCTATCTGTGAAGCCCAACAAGATGACTGTGAGCCTACAAGAGACCTTGCTAACAGTGTATATGTTCCTTCCACAGTCAACTCTCAAGTAATTCACTGCACACACAATGCCAGGATTATATTTCACCCAAGTTTCAGTCATGTAATCTCTACAGGGAGTGTTTTGGTGGCCTACACAAGTAAGGGAAGTGTCTGCTCATTCAGTTGGTGCCTGAAACAAAACCTCCACCTCTCCATGTGCTGGACTCCTAAGACCTTTAACTATGCACCCAGCCCACTGTCCTACATCACCTTGGAGTTTGTTAGGACTGCCATCCTATAACAGAACTGATTTGTAACACAACATCTTCAACTTCTGAAAATCCTTCTTTCTCTTATGAGTTACATGAAACCTAACTTTAACACAAATAAATTCAATGACAAACTAGTAAAAATGTTTATATTTACATTTATAATGCAGGTTCTCTGATGTAACACCCAGGATTATTAGAAGATTGAAACAGATACTGGTTCATTCAAGACAATTTAAAGCTTCACTCGGATATTTAATATGCAGGAAAAGCAATACTAGCTACTTGGGATGTTTTTTTTTTATTTTTACTTTGATAATTTCAAAAAGATTATGAATAAAAAATTCATTTATTTACTATGTCAGTTGCTGCTCACTGGTTTCTAAGTGAATGCAGAAATAAAGAGATCAAACTCTTCAGTTTCAAACACACACATATCCTGTACTGAAGCTTTCCTGTGCATCATACAGCCACTGAATGATGGCCCTGCTGTTTTTAGTCTGCACCTGTGGTTCAATGTTCATTGTTTTCTGCACTGAAGAGTGTCATGTGTTGGTTAGCCACACCCAAACTGTAACATATCAAGTTTTTCATTTGAGAGCTTTTTGAAACCCACAGAACCATGTGAGAAAAGCAAGGGAGATCCTGCAGAAAACAAGAAAACATAAGTAAAAAAAAGGTTCTCACAACATGAACACTGTTATTAGCCAAACCAACTGAAGTTGATGCTGTGGCTTTACATGCAGAACTTAAATAAAACAACTCAAGATTATTAATTATATTAAAAAACAATGTTCAGTCTGTTTCTTTAAATGGTTCATAGAGAGAATAAAATAATGTGTACCAAGAAAAAAAGACGTTAGACGTGTGCTGGCCTAATCAGGGCTGCTATTGCTCTGTTATGACACTTCTAATGTTCTCAACACACCATACATCTGGACCTGAGACTGAGCTTTTGTTTGTTAAAGAGAAATAGGTACCAAAAAATGCAGGTGTGCCTGATTTGAATGAAATATATATGTTGCATATATAATACTTTATACTTCTACTATGTATGAACTGTGAAGTTATGTATTGCGCATCTACAACAGAACATTAAATTAGTAACAGACTTTTAAACTGTACAACATTAGTTTATGTTCTAAACACAATAATCCAAGAAAAACAATAAAAACACGGATCTACATCTTTGCTGCAATAACAGGGGGGCTAAACTGTTGGCTTTATATATTAGCTCCTCACAATAAAAACATATTTACGAACATTGTTAGTGAAAGATCTTTGACCTCATAAATGAAAGACTGTACTACCGTTTCTTTTTTTGATTGTTTTTGATGACTTGATATTTTGATGGCACTCTGCGTGATGTCATCTTCTCCAGATTTTACTTTAATTTCTAAAATAATCCAAAATTAACAAAAAATATTAATAAGCCTGCCTAAAAGCCTGGTAATTGCTGCACATGTGAGCTGTGTGTGAGACGTGAGCACGGCTTGTTTCCTGCTGCTTTGGCATCGACTGGCTGATTCCTCAACCTGTTACTGCAGTGGTTTCAGCTCATGGCAAGAAAAGATATATTAATCATCCATGGGATCAGTATGCTGCGCTAAAGAAATTGCACACACATAATTATACAAAAAACATTAAAAAGGTCACGGGGCAACCCTGAAAAGGATAAGCGGAAGCGAATGGATGGATATTAATAAAATATATATACATTTTTATTAAGATTGTAGAATGTATTATCCTAATCGAAGGTCCAACCTGAGAGATCAGAGTCAAAGGAGTGGTCTTTGTTTTACAGAGCAGAGTGACGTCAGCAGTGAGATCAGAACTAAAGAGAAATGACACTCAGGTTGATTTGAGGTGAACATAAAGAACAACTCCACACAAACAGCCGACAAACCCATGAACCTGTCTCTCTCTTACACATCTGCTCATCTTCAATTTTTATACAAGACACACGTTTCAATCAAGTTTGTATTAAAAAAAAAGCCTCTAAAACTCAAAATAGAGGAAGCTCTCAGAACCATGGTTCCATTTTCCATTGACATGTCTTTGTGGGAGGAAACCTCAGTGTCACGTGTACTGCTAGATATAATTTACAAATCTTTGAATTTTATTTCATTTTGAATTTTTTGTCAAAGTAAAGCACTGTGACTTAAAGCTGCCACAAAAACACACAAGACAAAGAGATAATGAGCAAAAGATATACTGATATCTTCAGGGCACCAAAATGAAGACCCTTCAGCACTGGCTACACTTAAATATTCCATAAAAACTATGAACAGAACGCTGACACGCCATACTCCCACAGCAGTTGGGATACCTCGATGGACACGGTCAAATGCTTTCTTCAGTTCCATAAAACACTTAAAGACTGGTTGGGGAAACTCTGAGGCACTCTCAAATATTCTTGAGAGGATAAAGATCAGGTTGTGGGTTACATGACGAGGACATAAACTGCATTTATTCTGCATTTCTTTGCCACAATCCAGTTTTAGAACTAGCCAGAGTTTCTTGTCCAGGTGTATGGATTGCCAGTGTTACATTGCTTGATGATTTGGTGGACTGCCTCTATGTGGTTAAGGTTGGATTCATTTGCAAGTTCCATATTGAATTACCATTAATGGTAAGACAGTGTATATATGACCTTATGGCTGAGTCTCTGAAAAAGTTTGATTCTAGAATTGCTTGTAATCTCTATATAAGCTTGTTTTGTAACTTTTAGTAGAACACTGCACCTTTGATAAGATTATAATGTGGGATATGTGAAATGAATTGTTCAACAGCAAATGAGAGATTTGGCAGCCTTGTATTGTTCTTTTGTGACATTTGAAAATGGTCATTGTTAACTATGGCCTGTGGTGAGTGATGTTTTTGATGTGTTTTGATCCACTTAATTAATATAAATAAAGCGTGATTTTTGTGTGTGTGTTTTGCTTTTTTATTTTGTGGGACAAGCAAACATGTTGGTGCTTGTATCTACTTTTGATCTGCTTCACTGTGAGCTGATGGTGACTGTTAAAAAAACAAAACAAAAAAAAAAAAAACCCTCTGAGTCAAATATGATTAGACAATAGGAAAAGTCTGAGTTTAAGCACATGAATATATTTTATTGATTATTTAATTGTCTGTTGCTGTCCAACATCAACCTTTGAGATTTGAAGTAAGCTTTAACTGAAGTTCATCATCATTCCACAGAGTGGCACTTCACTTGTTCCACATATTGTTCCACATGTTACAGCCTTATTACAAAATGGATTCGTTTAATTGTTCACAGGCGAGTATGTAAAGCCTTTGCTGTGGCACTAAAAATTGAGCTCACATGCATCCTGTTTTGGTGCATCTATTTATCATCTCTCAGATCTTTCCCAACTTGATAAGAGTCCACTGAGACAGAACTGTATCTAGGAAAAAATCTTGGGAAGAGTAAAGAAAAATTTCTGCAGCCCTGAAGGACCCAGAGAGCACAGCCGGTGGTCATCATCTGTGAATAGAAGAAGTCTGGAAGGATTCTTCCTAGAGCTGGCTGCCAAACCAATGTGAGAAATGGTAGAAGATGAGCTGAGTGTAGGAGACTAAGAATCCAATGGTCACTCTGACAGAGCTTCAGCCTTGCTCTATGGAGAGAAAAGAGATTTCCAGAAGGACAACTATTTCCGAAGCTCTCCACCAACAAGGCCCTTATGGTAGAGTAGTCAGATGGAAGCCACACCTCAGTAAAAGACACATGATAGCCTGTCTACAGTTTGTCAAAAGGGAACTGAATGACTTGCAAAAGATGTCAAAAAACATTCACTGATTGGATGACCTCATTGTTACTCTTGGCCTCAATACCAAGAGTCACATCTGGTGGAAACCAGACACCACTCACCTGGCCAATACCATCTGTAAAGTGAAGCAGCATCATGCTTACAACAAAGGAGTGGTTTTGGGACTGATCTGTGAATGTCCTTTTCTACTCAACAGTCAGAGTGTTTCTCCAACATGGGGGCTTTCTTTACACTCCACTCAGCACAGACACACTGACGAACCAGGAGATCTGAACCAAAACCCAGGATAGAGAGTTTCAGTGAATGTGGTGTTGAAGGTGTGGAGGTGGATCAGAGTGTCAGAGGAGACTCTGTAGAAGGACAGAGTGCCAGCAGGACAGTTCACATACACCGCTACTCTGTTAGAGACAGAGTAGGAGGAGGAGGAGATGGATCTTTCTGTCTTATTTTGCCTGACAGAACGAGGACGATCATCAGAGCAGATGAGACTCCAGGACTGATCATTCCATCCAAACAAACAGTCAGTACTGTCTCCTTTCCTTCTGATTTTTCTGGAACTCACCGATATCTCAACGTCTCCTGTCCACTCGACCTCCCAGTAACAGCGACCAGTCAGACCATCTCTACACAGCAGCTGTTCATAAACATCAAATCTGTCTGGATGATCAGGATATGATTGAACCTCCTCAGCATGTGTCACCTTCCTGTTGTTGTCAGACAGTTTGAGGTTTGTGTGTACTGTGTTTGTGTTGATTGTGAGTTGACAGGAATCTGATGGAGAGGACAAACACAATCCAGCTGCAGTTATTGATCCATCATCTGTTCATTGATTGACACTTTGATGATGACTCCTGACATAGGAGATGTGAATGAGTGATGTGACAGTTTGAAGATGGCTGAATGTGTGCCGCTTTGTTTTTATGAATCACATCAATCACATAAAAACACACTTACACTTCCTCAGACCTGGTCTCAACCATCGGACTCCAGCAGGCTCCACCCTGAAGGGAGGAGGGGGATCAGACCAGCACAGTCTCTTTCAGCATGAACACATGGACATTACACGGCTCTCATACACATACTGTTAGACACCGATGAACGAGCAGTTCAAGATTGTCACAAACACACTTCAATCCTTACATGATTATTTGGACTGATTCTGGATCTGTAAATGTATCTTAATTTTGTCACATTTTGTAGGATGTATATTAGTTAAGAACAGTGTTGGGGAGTAACGGAATACATGTACTGGCGTTACGTATTTAAAATACAAAATATGAGTAACTATATTCTGTTACAGTTACCATTTAAAAAGCTGGTATTCATTACTTTGTTGAAATAAATGGATCACATTGTGGTCTTTTCCTGTTTCATATGTTAGGCTATGCCCTCTCTATTTTTGGTAATTCCACACTGGTGGAAACCCAAACAAAACACACATTAAGAGGCTCTAATGTGTGTCTCAATCTCGCAGCCCATGTCACCTCTAATTGTGGCCCACATAATGATGTGAAGAAATAATTTTAAAAATTATTATTCAAAATTATTATTCAGGCAATAGGCAGAGTGTTACAGGCATAGCATGTATGAAGCATGTAAAAATAATAATAACCACTGGAGCCAAAAAGAGTGCCTGAGTTGTAAGTAAGCTATTAAGACTCGACTGTACACTGTGTTCGTGTTTTCCTCCGAAACAATAAGTTCTGATGGAGAGCCTTTGTTTTAGCTGAATCACACTTGTTATTAATATCTGTCTCTCTTACAGCATGTCTTTATCCTGTTTTCTCTCACCCCAACTATGCTTGCTCATAGGGGTCATATGATTGTTGGGTTTTTGTATTTTGTATTATTGTAGGGTCTACCTTACAATATAAAGCACCTTAAGGTGACTGTTGTTGTGATTTGGTGCTACATAAATAAAACTGAATTGAATTGAATTGTTCCTACTTTGTGTTTCCTGATTTTGGAGTTTTGCCTTTTGGCCACTCAAGGCTTCTTTTCATCACTTACTCACCGAAATCCTCAGCATTTAATTCAGAGCATTTCACAATCAGGTTCCTGTGTATGTAGTCCATCTTCACCATCACTCTTTATCTTAATTAAATTTACAATAACACTTATCATGCTGTTATGCTGTTCTTGTTAGGTTCTACTAGAGTTAGATTTATTAACATTTTACAAATGATTAATTTTTAAACTTTCGGTCAAGCTAGGTAAGCAACTCCCCCTGCTTCCAGTCTTTTTACAAAGCTAGACTAACCTCGTCAAAGGCATGCTTCTGTAGAGAGATTAATCTAATTGAATCAGGTCGAACAGAAGAGGATTTTTCTTAAAAATGACTGAACTGGTAAGCATGCAGATATCTATGCAAATTGTGAATATGTGAAGAGCAAAAGACAGTTATTGCTGGTGAAAAACATCTCCTTGGAAACTCCCCTACATTAATATCTTAATCATTCAGATAGATTAGTGTTTCTTTTCCTGAAAATATTTCTTCAGTGTTATTATTCATGTCACATCCATTTGAAAACAAAAAAGAGTGAAGGACACAGGAAATGCTTCCAGCTCTTCTGCCTCTATCAGACATTCTCTCCATACCTGAGAATGTCCAGTCTCCAGCGTGGATTCTTCCGTCCAGCCGACAATAGCTTCATTCCTGAGTTT